ACAATCTCCTTCTTGTCTTAAGTAGGCAGTTCGAACTTCTTTGTAAATCTATACGATTAGATAAGTAAATTTATCTTTAGCATTGGTATCTACTGTATTATAGCACTATCTATATTACCAATACATTAAGTTATAAATGTGGTCAACTAGTTAATTTACTTTTGGGATAGCAAAAAAATTTAAAATTTAAAACAACGCTCCTAATATATTGTGACAATGACAATTAATAAATATTAAAAATACATAATCACATTTTTTTATAAGCATTTAAAGTTAAAATTTTGACAAAATGTATGAAAATAAAAAATAAAAAATTGTAACTATGTATCATTATAGTTTTATACTTAGTTTAAAATTATGACTATACAATATACATAGTGATATAAGTTACCTATATATACTATTATTTTGTCTAATCTCTAGTGTATAATAATATAATAATATGATTAATTGGTTCAAGAGGGTTTTCTTCTGCTCTCAAACGAAGTTTGGCTTTAAAACGTTTTTCTTCGTTTTTTACTGGACGAAGGCTGTGATTATGATGGCAAAACTTATCGGAATGTACTGTGAATAAATTTTAAATTATCAAGTGAGCTCCACAGTTTTCAATGCACTTCCAATATTTTTTATTTTTTATTGTTTTATCAATTCTAAAATAAAAGTTATTTTTTTTTATTTTAAAAAGTATATTTACAATCTATACAATAGTCAATAAGGTATAATATGTAAGTGTGTTGAATATTTGACGTAAAATAATAACATTAATAGGAAGGCTCCCAGCAGTGTCACCTGACCAGTAATAAAATAATAGTTATTAAAAATAAGGCATTCACCTTTTTGCTGTGTAGAAATATATTCAATAATCGACATTATTATTTTTTTTTTTTTGACATATTTGTTTTTATTTGTACAATCTGTATAAAAAAAAAAATATTTACAATAAGTACAATGGAGATAATGATAATATTGGTAATTGGACATGGTTGACTTGTTGAAGAGACTATTCATTAATAGCACTTTATGACATTATTATTTTAAAATTTAAATTATAAATGCGCAGACACTGATGATAATCATAAGATACCGTCAGTACTGTGTTGTAGACTTAGCAGATATCACCACCGCACGACACACAATTCGTTCTATTTTATTTATATAATTATCGGGGATTTATCAATCGATAACTTCAGAATTCAGATAGTTTAGTACCAACACCCTTTCAAATGATAAATATTTTACAGTAGGTATCTGTATTTACTATTTTATCGCTTTACAAATCACAAATTTGCAATCATATTTTAAAATAAAAATAATTTAAGCGGCCAAATGGGATTAATTCGGTGGCGAAACGGGATAAGACCCTTTTTTTGAACGAGTGCAGTTCGACCACTACCGTATTTTTACCCAAGTCCAATTCGACCATTTCTTTTTAGGTAATAATAAGTGCAATTCCACTATCCCGTTTTCAAAAAGTTGAAAAGACGCCCCTGGGTACCTTTATAATATGTCTATATATATATTCGTAATACACTAATACGTAGGTATATTATGTATCTCTCTCTCTCTCTCTCTCTATACCTACCTACCTACTCAAATTTTACTCGATTTGTACTAAGTACCAGCTATACTGTAGCTTACCTACCTACATATTATACCAGAAAACCAGCGAAATGTTTGAATAATATTATCATCGTTTCTATATATTATGTATATTGTATATTATATTTTCTGTTTATATATTTAGCACATTATAATATATTATTATATTATTGCACATTTAATACGATTATTATATATATATATGTCCATATTATATACGATTACGCGAACCGGTTTATCGACGTTTACCAATTTATTATCACCGAAATCCCGTTAAATCGATGGACGAGAAAAAATTAAGTAGATGCGCGATAACTATAATGACATTAAAAAAATGAATATATATATTATATGTACCTACGTACCTAACAACCTACTTTTAAGTGTTCTAAAGTGTATGTAGGTATATATATATATATAAGACTTCTATTTTATTTTTTCAGAAATTTACCATAAACGAATCAAAACAATACATATATTATAATATATTGTACAGTATTGCACATCAGTACCAGGACAACCCAAATTATTATAATGTAACATATTATTATATCGCAGCCAGAAGGTAAGAGTGTGGTATACATAGGTATACAACTGGTATAAAAGGTATATACAAATATGTATATACTACTAAGGTACTTACTCGTAGGAGTAGACTGGATGTGGGGGGCTTTATCCTCCCCGGAAATTCGATTCGTCTCTTAGGAAATTTTTTTTAGTAACAATTTTAAAATATATGTTGTGTACCCGAAACATTATATAGGCCCAGGAATGGTCAACTGGCAGCCCGCGGGCCATTTTTAACTGGCCCGTCCTACATTTCAAACTTCATAAAATTATTATAAAACGTTAGGATTTTTCTGTATTTTATTTTATTATATTGATGAAACTATTGAAATCGATGTAATGTTTATCGTAAAACGTATATATGAATTCTTAACTAATATTGAACTATTAAGGGGGCTCCAGCATATCATGTTTCAAGGAGTAATATTTAGGCAATACGCATGACATAAACATTCAGGCCATGTATAATATTATTATGTGTAAGTAATAAATGAACATTAGGTAGTGTGTTTCCAAATTGTTTACTAATATGTGCATAGGTATTGAAAAACAATTAATATAGAGTAGAATTTTTATTTTATTTTAGGTTATTAATATACACAGAATAATTTAAAAAAAAAAATATTCAAAATCTTTGTAAATCATCTTAAATATGGTGAATAAATAACAATAGTTTTTGAATTTGTATTGCATGTATTAGGAAACAAATATTATGAACCTCATTTATACTGCTTTAATTTCAACTTTCAATTCACTAAGTTTGGTTACTCAAACTCCTTTAAATACAAAATTGTTAAAATATATTGAACTTTTAAAAAAGTACTTTTACGATGTACACGTTTTTAGTGGGTATATAATAATATAGTCTTTACCCCTATTGGGGTTAGTTTAAAACCTGGCTTCTAAATAACACCACTTTCTCTAATACATCACATGATAATATAAAGTAAGTTCCCTTGGGAAGAAAAACATATTTTAAAATTGTTTTTATCAAATTGTATATAAACAATAATAAATATATTAAGTGATTATGAATAAAAAAGAAATCAATACGGTATTTATATTATAATAAACAAAATATAATTACATTTGAATATATTTTTAATACTTTTATTGGAAATAAAAATTAACAATTTATAAAATATATATGACACCGTTGGACAACTTACAATAGTTAGTAATAATAATTTTAATAATAATAATAATAATAATAATAATAATAATAATATTTGAATAATCATACATTTTTCTATGATAAAAATATTTATAATAATCAATGGTATATAATCGTATAACATTATTATTGGCTTAAATAGACATTTCACATTCCTGAAAAATAATTTTTACAAAATGTTTGTAATAATTTATTTGAATAATCACTATTACAAGATTTTATTTATGAAAATATAGGTATGCATTATAAAAATTAACTAAATAAATGTTACTGGTCATTTGAGGGACAGTCGATTAGGGGGGAGAGGGGGGAGGCGTAATATGTTTAATTTCGTAAGACATGACATGATGCCGTGTAGAGCATAATTGTGTGCAAAATCAGTCGTTTGCCTATATTTAAGCACATAATTTTTTAATTTTAATACTATCAAATACATTATAATATGTACACAATTCGTTGAACAAGAATTAAACTAAATATTTTCTAAAAATAAATTAGTATAATATACAAACTATTAAAATTATTATAAAATCAATACAATTCATATAAAATATAAAATTAGAGGCTAACATAATAATGGTAGTAAACGGTTTAGCCATGACTGAATAATTTGCGTGTAAAATAAAAAAAATAATTTTTTAGCACATTAAACATTTAGCGGTATAAAAATTGGACTAGGGAATTAATTAATAAACATATAAAAATATAATTTATATTATAATAGAGTAAATAAATGGATATCGATCTGCAAGCCATTTTATAAAATTACAACTGAACATCCGATTATCAACATTAATTTTTCCATACATCGATTTTCAAACACCATAGACACCACATTCCTGGCAGTCTAAATATACATAATAAAACTTAACAGAACACACTAATTGTACACTATTACTAAAAACAATTCTGAGTAAGTACATTTTTTTTGGATATAATGAATAATAAAGTGTGTAACTCTAAGGAATGTTAAAAAAAGTAGGTAAAAAATCACTGTAAAATGTATTTAATAAATAAACTCAGATGGCAGGATACAGTCGAGTAATAGTAACTTATCTTTATAATTTATATGTTACTTTTAAGATATTATAATAGAATACAAATTGCATTGATTATCAAATGAGATTTAGAATTTTGTTTTTATTGAATCCTAAGAAGTAAGAGGTAATAGTGTGAAAACTGAATCAATAATTTACTGTCAGAAATGCCACTTTTTATCACATTTAGTTTATCAAAATTAACTAAAAAATTCAAGGAATGATTAGAATACAATAATAATAAATAATAATAATACTTAATTAAAAATATTGATGAAGATGATGAACTATTTGACTCTAAAGACTAGAAGAATAAAAAATAAATGTGCAAAGGATATGCATATAGGTAATCCCAAAAGATGATAATCAATAATAATTTTCCCGAAGACACAGAACACAGAATTGAGATTAGAGTTTGGGCGTTGATTTTTGGAATACATTTTTATTACCGATACTAATTGATCAAAAATGTACCTTCAATCAACGTAATCATGATATCCAATGCATGGCTACTCGTAAAATAAACAAACTATAAGCAAAAAATTGGTAATGGTCTTAAGTACGTGTTTGATTATCTTTTCATTATTATAACTATTAATTTATACGAAATACTGTTGTCCAAGTCAAACTCTTGTTACGAGTTCCATAATCTTTTTCATTTCTTTCTCAATCTCCATACGCTTTTCCGTTTCCACTTCCAACTTTGTCGACAACTTGTCAAGTAAACTGTTTTGTAGTTGAACAGTGGACTCCAATTGTTTTACCTAATAACCACACATTAAAAGATTTACAATAAAATAAAAAGTAAAACATTTTCATTCTCAAATGCAATAATTACCTTCTCATTTAACACTGATATTAGACTTCCCTCTACTGATGGCGTTGACAGACTAAAATCGGCTGATATAGGTGCAACAGGACTGGTTGGTGTGCTAACTGTGACCGGTTCAGGTGTGGTCAGAGGTGGCACGTAACCAGGAGGTTTAAAAACAACACCGCCCAAGCCCACTGAAGTCAATCCTGATCTGGATGTTACTGTTGTGGTTTCTGATGAACTCTCTGATGTTATAGTGGTTGTAGACGGATTGATCATCACTCGTGTTCTACCACCACCTAATTTATAAACATTGTATTAAAAAATAATAATAACTATATTATTTTCAGTCAATTTGTAGATATATGAATAGTGTAAAAATCATAATAGTTTAATGTATAATAACTATGACTTATAAGAAACATACCTATCACAGAATTAGCAATCGATGATTTCTTTGCCTGATTCATCTTCAACTCTTGAACCCATGGGGCCTTTTCTTTATCCACACCGGGTATTCCGTTTGTTGGCGGGGGATCCAAAGCTGGATCATCCTCAGTGGATACATTAAACGCTGCAGACGGTGGCCTCCTTCTAGGTGCCTTAGCTCGAGATGCAGTTGGATGACTAAGCATTGCGGTTCTTTCTATTTGATCGAAATCAGGACTCTTGGGCTCAGGAGAATTGTTATCATGCTAAGTAAAAAAAAAATATACATTAAACAACAAATTAGCCAATTATAGAGACAATTTGTATGTTTATACTAAAATACATACATTTGTAAACACTAATGATGTAGGGGACGATTCTGGCGTAACATGGTATATTGATCTACTCATACTTGAGCCATCTGGCGAATCCGAGGATTTCTTCATGGAACCCACAGACTCTGAACGTTTTACAGCTATAGAGCCGTATTGTTTAGAATCCCCAATTTCAGAATTTATATGCTTCATCTTATCCGTGGTGTTTTGTTCAGAATTCAACATGGATTTAATACCACTAATAGTTTTTGACAAGGAAGACGTGGAAGAACTTTTGGCAGTGGGTGGTTTCTTGGTCGTAGGTGGTGGTGGTGGCAGAGCTGGTTTCTTGCTCACCACTGGTCCCAAAGATTTATTTTCCATTTGGCTCTGAAAAACTTTACGTAGTGAAGCCGTTGTGCCGCTACGTGGACTACTAACAGTTTTATCAGATTTAGTTGCCAACTGAATAAACATAAGTAAAAAAAACATAAAAAACATGTGACTACTGTGTATTGTAATATAGCCTATAGGTAAAATAATAATAGTAATAATAAAAAATACCTCATCTTGATTCATTATTTGAACAAAATTATCAGGAAACACTCCGATTCTTCCTTTAAGCTCTCCTTTCCACCAGCCTTTGTCTTCTACTTCACGTGATAAAATAGTAACTATATCGCCTTCAGCCAGTGACAGTTCATCACTATTGACAGCTTCGTAAGGGAAGAGTGCAACACAAACTTCTTTAGCTGTATACAATTTGAACAATGACAAAATAAAAGATAAAACTGTAGTTACTTATTCTACAAAATAATAATTAGTTTGACATTTAAAATATTAGTTGTATTGTGCAAATAAATTCAGTAATATCACCGGATAATTACTGTAATTTAAGAAAGTCAATAAAATTAGCAGTACACATTAATTGTATTAAGTATTGACCTAAACAAAATTGTTATTTAAAAAAAAAATTAGATGATTACTCAAATAAATTTTAAGTAGTGAAATAAAATGTCATCAAATTTACAATTAGGATTTAAAATATTATGTACACCTACAATGAAATAAGTGAGACAACCTCTGTTTTATTTTTTTCATAACTGGATAAGTTGTAGGGTATGAAAATTAGAAAAAATAATATGATAGAATTCAAAAAGAAATATTATTTTTGATAGAAGTAATACTTTGAAAAGTGTCATTACTCATTATCATAATCGCTGTTAATGACAGTTATAACTGAAGTCTGAAATATCACTAAAATAATATAATTAAAAGTTGACATATTAAAATACAGTTTATCTTTCAAGTGATTAATAATAATCAGTATTGTATTCATTTCCTTTTATCAGTTTGTGTTGGTATAAAATAGTTGCTTATTTACTAAATTCAATATATTATAGTACTACGCGTCATGTATTTAATTGATACATAGAATACTTAAAAAAAAATTCTTTTATTTAATTATCTTACTTAGTACTGTGATATTAAATGTTTATACCTGGTTTTGGAGGTAGAACTGGAGCATTGGGTTCAATATTATTATCAACAGTTTTGATTGGTTCCACAATAGATTTTTCTAAATAAAAATAATTATATTGAAATATAAAATACATTTATGTCATTTTTTTTTTTTGATTAAACCTTTAAATAGAAGTTGTTAATATTTATACAGATTATATAATTAAAAAAGTGAAAATTACCTTTTTTGATGCTTTCTTCTTTCTTGAGGGATCCAGTTGAAGTTTTTGAGTCACTTCTACTAATAATAATACTCTTAACGTCTGATATTTCAGTGACATAGTTGGATGGAAAAACACCAATCTAAATTAAAAAGAAAAAAATAGTTATATTAATTTATTAATAATATTAGACAGTCAATTATGAATGTGTTATAAATAATTGAGTAAGAATGAAACAATAATACAATTTTAGATTCTGAGAGGAGCGATGAATATATTAATTTTTTACATTGACATGTTTTTATTTTATTTTTATATTTCTGTGTCTGTCATCACCGTTTAAGGCAGTTACACTGCTTCTAGTTTCTTCAACAGTATCTTGTTAATTGGGAAGTGAATCTAGTTGGTGCATTTAGGAGATAAAATTTAAGTCCCAATAGTTTTCAAATGTGCAGGAAAAAACAACATAAAAATTAAGAAAACAGGAATTTATACACAAAATCGGTTTTCGACAAAATAACCGTAGATATATGAAATGTTCACTGATTGTTTATATTAGCATTTTCTCAATACGATAGAATTTTAAAAATATTTTGACTTGTTTTGAGCGGTTACAACATTTTCAGTTTCCAATATTTTTAGTTTATTTTTCTATAAATGTCAATAAAATTCTATTTGTTGGGTCAAAAAGTGTGGACATTTAATACAAGGCTCCTAATATATTATAATTACGATGACTTGAAAAATATTAAAAAAACAGTCACTATTTTTTTTTATAAGCATTTATACCAAGTTCAAATTTTTATAAAACACGTAAAAATTACAAAAATTTGCAAATTATTTTGAGTTAGAAATAAGTACATAAAATATTGTCTTTTTAAATAAAGATTTGAAAATTTAATTGAAAGTCAAATTCAATTTTTATGAATGTTTGAAGTTCATATTCTTACAATATATTCACTTTATTTCTCATGTAGCGATATTCTTATTTTGCCGTAATTCAAAAACGAAGAACCGTAGATAATTTTAATTTACACCTTATGTTTTATTAATTCCTATTCTTGATACAATTTTCAAAATATTTTAACTCATTTTGAGCTGTTTAAGAACATTTTAAATTGTTTGGTTTTTTTTTTCTATAAATATCAATAAAGTTGTATTTGTTGGGTCAAAAAGCATGAAAATTTAATATAAGGTTCCTGTTATATTGTTACAATTGAAGTTGAAAAATATAAAAATACACAAGCAGTAAGCACACATTTTTTATATAAGCATTTAAAGTTTGAATTTTGACAAAATTTAAAACAATTTTGTAGTTAAAAATTTTAAAATGTTCAACTAGTTTTATAGCTAAGGATTGAACATTTAAACCAAAATCCCACATAAAAAGGTAAATAATTAATAAATTACTTTATTCACAACAATATCATCAAATTTACTTGGTAATATATTTTCATAGGCAGAATCGTTATTCTGATACAATTGTATTATATTATTGAATTCAAATTTAACACCATTCATTACAGTAACTCCCTGTATAGCAGAGGGACACCCATTTGCCAAACCTTTTTATTTTTAAATACCAAAAAGAAATTATCAAAGATTTCAAAATACCGAATTGATAAAATTATATCTAAAGAAAACTTTTCCTAGACTTTCACATACAAATATTTTCTAAGCATTGAATTATTTACCTTGAACAGTATACAAATAATTAAAAATAACAACTTAAGTTTCTTTAATTGGGTCAGCCACTTTATATGGACATAACAATATTTTAGTCAAGTAAAAATGTTAAGTTTCACTACCTATAATGATATTATAACTAAAACATGTAAACATATAAACATTTAAATTGTTTATCTGTTTCTTTTAAACAAAAAAGTAATATAAGACAAATTGACATTTTATGTCTTTGCTTTGGCACATAGAATCGAAAAATGTTACGTTATTTACTATTTGTTTATAAATGGTTGCCATGGGTTTTAAAACTATTATAATAATAATTTTTGGTTGTGTAGATATTGTTGTGTAGAATAAATCAGTGTATTAGAAATCGAAAAACGTTACGTTACGTTACAAAAAAAAAAAAAAAAATGAAAAATATAATTTTTTTCATCCGAGATTCAAACTCGATATATGATAGTTAGGTGAGACTGCATTAATATTATAATATTTTAATATTACAATATTACCTAGGTATGTGCTACATATGATAGCAAGGGCAACAAAGACATAAAATGTGGTACTTCATTGCAGACTCGTATAAATATGATTTTAAATAATGAACTCAAACGTAATTTGTTAAAGGTAGACAAACTTATGAATAATCTTGTATTTAAGTTTGGTATTTATATATAGGGTTTAAATTAAAGTAAATCAAAGTTATTAAATAATATGATATAGTGCTTATTTAAAAAAATATATATATATATTTACATTACACACAATTAAACTGTATGGCATATTGATAGGTACTTGAATATATTTTATGCCTGTAAGAGTAAAACCAAAATTTAGATAGGATGAATAAAACCTATTTTTCAACTTTAAATTTACATCAATTACCTATTAAATTTAAATTACAACCATTCAATATTAAAATATTTAGTATTTACAGATTAAAACTATTAATTTTTCTTTTCTTATATTTAACAAACAAACTGATGAATTTAAAATAGTTTATGTTCAACAAATCTAATACTTAATAGTTAATAGTAAGGCATACACAGTTGTTTTCTTAATAATCTATATTAAAAAAAAAAAAAAAAAAAACACTTTTAGGGATAGTAATATTCACTATTAAGGGGCCGTTACAATTACATTTATTTTCTCTGTCTTACGAGTGCGTAACATACCAAATTTTAAGCTCAGCAAAAGTGCAAAACACATTTATCTCCCGTTAGTTTAAAAATTAGAGCAAATTTACCTCTTATAAAATATAAAGGTAAAATTATTATCTAGACAATGACATAGGCTTTTTATTATAATTTAATTTAAAGCAAGTTATGTGTATTTTAAGATTGTAAACTGTTTGTACATCTTAAAATACTCATAACTCGCTTTAAAATTAAAATATAATGTAAAGCTTATGTCATTGTCTAGATAATAATTTTACCTTTATATTTTATAAGAGGTAAATTTGCTCTAATTTTTAAACTAACGGGAGATAAATGTGTTTTGCTGAGCGTAAAATTTGCTATGTTACGCACTTGTAAGACTGAGACAACAAATGTTACTGTAACGTCCACTTAACACCAGTTTATTAGGGAATGTATTTTAATAATTAAGGTAAATAATAAAAATAAAACTCTTATTATCTACATCAATTGAAATATAATAATAGGCACATAAATGTCAGTTTAACCTTCTAAATAATCATTTATTTAAATATTATTCATAAGGTAAGAATTTGTCACTTCTTTATTATTTCATGATAAACACAGAGATGTGTGTATTTGTGCAATAAAAATACTGTAATTTTCTTTATTGTAGTAGATAAATAAGTTTTGAAAATATTATTACTAATTAAAAAGTATTCTTGCCGTCTTAATATTTTAGGATGAAAGTATTAATTGGTAATTAAAACAATTCAATAAAAATTCAATGATTTAATAATCAAAAACTAAACACTACAGCACTGTTATTCATTCTGTCAAACTAATTTACCAAGACAATAAAGAAATAATTTATTAATTTATTCACATGCAATTAATGCGAGTTAATTTGATGTATACTGTATAGAGGTGAGTTACAAAACGAGTTATTTGGTCACCAAAAAAATTGAGAAGTTGAGTTTGTGTGTTATCAAACAGTAATACCTATACCTACCTATTATTATCATGAAATGTGGAACCTTGAAAAGATAAATATTATGTTGAATGTAATTTTAAAATTATAATATTATACTAAGGGTCAGTATTACCATCTTCTGTTAAATTTAAAGGACAACTTAACTGGAGGAATTCTGCTGGTAATAAAATATGTTATCAGCCGGTTAGGGTGATCCGATTCGAATGAAACCAATGGTTGTAATATTAGCCCTCAAAGGATAAGTCATTAAACAAAATTGATGTTCTTAAAAATGTAATATCTATGTATTTTTTTAAAGATCAAAGTTTAGTTACAAATGTTTAACACAGTTAAGTTAAGGCTTATAACATTTGAGCTACAATAGTAAAATGTAATTATTTACTTACACTATTACATCTAATAAAATTAATATCAGAAGAACAGGTAAAAATAAAAAAATGGTAGGTAACCATTTACAAAACAATCGTATTGGTGATAACGGTTTTGTAAAAAAACCAAAAACATAGGTAATACCTAATGTAATATCATTCACTAGATTATAATATAAGAATTCAATAAAAGAAAAAAATTTGATAATGAGGTCAACAAATATTTCAGGTTTGAATTAAGATAAAATACTTAAGTGTAAAAAATTAATGATTAATGTTTTGTGTAGGTATAATTAAATCAGTACTCACTTCGTTCCTAAGCTCTCCTTTCCACCAACCTTCCTCGACTTCGCCAAGAACCTCGATTACATCGTCTATGTTCAACTCCAACTCATCTCTGTTTGCTGGTTTGTAGCTGAACAACACCTTACACTTTCTGGCATTTTCTACAGGTAAGAAACGTATGATAAAAAAAATGGTATAATCACATGGATTAACTTTTATAAAATGGAACACTTACTTTTTCTCAAAACGACGCCGCCCGAAGCATGAACGATCTATAACGTACAGTAACGACACAATTAGTTTGAAGATGGTCTCGGGTTATAGCCGACGATTATAAGTTAGTGCAGTACAACTCACCTTAACGTAGGTGTCGGGAAACATTCCTTTCTTGCCATCCTTGTGCCCTTCCATCCATCCGTCGGGCATAGGCTTGACATCGGTGATGACGTCTCCCTTCTTCAACGTCAACTCGTCGGGTTCGCGGGCCGCGTAATCGAATTGGACCACGGCTTCTGTGGTGCACACAAAACAACAAACAGGTAGGTAAACATGACACGATAAAAATCGTCAGACGACAAACAAACAGGCGACGCACAGACAATCAAAGGTAAAACCAGAGCAAATGTCACCACCACTTACCCATGTCTGGTCGTCGGCTGCTGTGATGAGACGCAACGGCCGATGGCGTTTTTCATCTATCGCATCGGCGGCGGTGGCGATGGCACGTCGTCATGACGTCGACCGAACTAAAGAGCACGCGAAAGACTACCTACGTCCTACGTGCGGTCTCGGGAGGTGATCGCGGCGCGGTGTTGCTACTTAATACTCCGATACGATTCCGATGGCAATGAGATCATAATAATGTCCGTAAATATTATTATTATTATTATCGTTGTTTATTTTATTATGCTTATATATAGGTAGGTAGTACTGTTATCGTCGTGATAACTCCGCGCGAGGATTTTCACCTTTCGTCGACGTCGTAATCCCGTCGATCCACCGACAACCGTCTCCGTCGACGCTCGGTGCGTGCGCTTTTTTATCTTCTTATATTTATAATGTTTATAATATCACCCGCCCGTTATCGCCGCCACGCGCAATCGCCGGCCACACGACTTTCCCGCGAAGTCGACGACGGCGATCGACACTCGACGGCATTGGCCGATCGAATTCGCACGGTATTCTTTTATCGATAAATCGCTTTATCGTCGTTTATAGTCGCGTATAGAGTTGGCTTTTTAAAAAATTGTTTCGCTCGTTTCCGTCCTTATAGTTGGGTACGTCCTATAATAATATCTTGTAATATTAATAAAATATTATAATAATATAATCTTGGCGTATCGAGCGACGACTCGCTAGGAGAAGGAGGGACGGCGTGACGTGTCGCGTTCAAGTCTTGAAGACGTTACGACGTCGACACGATATTATTAATGATAATATTTAAGACTAGTTTTTTATTTAGAGTCGTTGACGACCGACGACGACGACCGAATGACTGGCGCGCGACTCCCATTTTACGCACAAACCTCCCGCGCCCGCCCGCCGACCGACCACCCGTCCACGCGCGCGCTGGAGTTGCTGTTGTTGAGGCGGCGGCGGCGGCGACGTGTAGCCACATCAAGGACGCGAATTTTCCCCGCCCCGCCCCCCCTCACCACCGACGCCGATGGCAACGCGTTTTCTCCGTGATAACGGTAAAGCCGCCTTCGCCGCGTGTCTTGTCTTAAAAAATAGTAATATTATACTGAAAACGTCGTGAATCGGCTCCAACCTGCTGCTCAAGCGACTCCAGCAGCTGCCGAACAGGTGATCCCCGCCGCCTTGGTTTCACCTGTACCTATACCTAGTCAACGTATTTTATTTTTCTGTTCATTGGGTACGAAAAAAAAAGTCGTATCGCTTTGGTTTTTTACCCATCGAGTTCGTAAAGTCGGTTGTGGTTGAGTAATGAGTGGTTCAGAAGTCAAAAGTCGCACCTACCCATTCGTGCACGCGCGTTAAAGTATTGCTCTATTCGTGCATATTTATACTTTTACAAAACGTTTATTATTTTGTATAACCTATATATGGCTGTATAATAATATTATTCTGTTTTATGATTTCATACAATTTGTTACACCCTATACTGCAAATATCTACTCACCTAAGAACCTAACTACGTTTTTCACGGCAATTCGCAGTACACAGTACGTCAGTCGTCAAGTGCAAGACTATTGACGCATCACTGCAGGGTTACATATTTATATTTTTACTAATTTTTTTTTGTGTCCATAGAAATATACGTTTCTACCTACCTGTCATAATATTTCTCAACAATTCGAATATCATAATTTATTTATACCATTCAGGGCGGTGTGCGGAAGACGACGTGCGTCGATATTACACTTTCCTACATATTATTATATATTTATATACCTATTATGATAAATGTTTATAATATGCTCTCCATTTGTGTTTTATAAGAGCTTCGATGTTTTTTATAAAACGCAATATAATATGCGCATTTATTATTATGTCATACGACAACCCCTTTTTCCTACGAAGATACTATTATAATGGGCGTGTGTGTGTGTGAGAGAGAAGGCATAAATATAACAATTACACGCGCATCATCGTATAATATATTAGGTATGTACCTACGTATGCATATCATATATGTATATATATATAATATATATATATATATATGTGTAATGTGTGTACTGTGTGTGTGAGAGTAGTGTACATGTGTAATTCGTTCGAATGACTGCGCAGGACGGACCGGGGAGAAAAAAATTTTACGTTCCGCGTCTCCTGCGTGCCGTCAACGGCGTATACTTATATTATACAGGTTACAACTGCTGCACGTTTCTCGGAATACGAGTACTACATCATAGGACATTACTATGTAACCTATATTATGTATAATACCTACAATATGATATAGATATACCTAGGCCGTAAATCGTGTGTACCTATGTATTAATGAGTCCTACAGTGGTACATACAAACGTTATACGTGAGGTATAATAGGTACATTATTATCGTCATCGCTATTCGCTCGTAAGTAGTCGAACACTCGTACCTAACTATATAGTCCATAGGACCAGGACGCTATACTTTTTATGAGTAAAGTTCAATTATTTTGTATACGCTGCATTCTGAAAAATGTAGGTACCTATGTCCTATATACCATATACGTCATAGCTATTATAGTATTATTTCTAAAAAAAATTAACTACCTACCTATGTAAGAAAATATGATAGGTATATAGGTAAATTTAGTAATAACTGCAAGAGCTAACGCATTGGACTGTTTTATAATAATTTTATACTGATTTAAATATGAATTCGCATATTATAATATAAGTAGTCATAACCTACATAGGTACTATAAGAAAAAACAATGATACCAATGTAAACCATACACGTATAAGAGGTGAAATCTAAACAAGTAAGATTATTGACGATTGTATTTGTAACGAATTGACCAATTGGGTAATTTCTATAGTACTATGTGAAATTATTAATAAATAGGTATATCGTTCATTCCTAGTTCCTACGTATAAAAGTAATACGAAGAAATGATCTCACTATAATTGTTGGATTCTTAGCTGAACTATAAGCAATGAATTGGTTTTTAATGAAATTATGTATTTTTTGCTCAAATAATTTTATATGACCTACCCCTCATAATATTGTTGAATCTACCTATGAAATGTCCTATATTTCTTCTATCAATACTCACTCACCCATATTTAAAATGATGCTTGAGGAACACTTGAACCCTATATGTTGCGCGCCCCTCAAACACTAGTTTCAACCAAATCAATTTTGTTTTTTTGTTGTAATTCAGAAAGAAACTTAAAATGTTTACATAATACTTGTATTAAACTTTTTTAGACATGATATAGGTACGTTTCAGACACTTTATCTCTTTTCTGCTTTATTATATAGATATTTAAAAATTTTGAATTTTTTTAGTTTGATTTTATTATTATTTATTTATTTATCAAAAAACAAGAATACTATTTTGTTGAGAACATTTTTGTTATTCGGTTAAAAAGTTTGAAAATGTAATACATCATGTTCTCTATTATATTTTGATGGATAAATAAAATGTGTAATATAATATAATGTATATTATAAATTTAAATAAGCCATCTTAATTTATTATAATATCGATTACAATAATTTGACAAGCGTTTATATTTTATAATAAAAATAAAGAATATACAATTGCACATAGCCATCATATTATGCCCATAGGTATAGAATATAGATAAATATTTTAATTTATATTGTACTACATCGTATGTCTACTATATAATATTATATTAAAACATTTTATTGAGAACGTATAAGATCAAAAATCACCAACAAAGTTGCACACTTGCATACCTAAATGATTATTTGTTCTAAAAATTAAACAATGGATATAGTCTTTTGTTATATTTAGATGCTTCGTTAGATGAAGGCACAATTTTTATTCGTTTTTAATTAGTAAATTATACATAAAATATTAAAACATAGTTAAGAAATTATTAACAACCAAAATAGTAACGTGAGGATAACCTAATCATACATTTAATATACATTTCAGAAAAGCCCGAGTTTTTTTATTATTAAATCGTTAAGATCTACAACGACTTGTTTTTAAATAATAAAAACACAGCCACACAGTGGCGTATATAGAAATAATTGTTGGGGTGGGCTATAGTAGATAGAAACTAGAAAAGTGATCTATTACTTAGAGGCTACTGTCTACTATATTATATTTAACAGTTTCTATAAATATATTCGTATTGGTTATTTTTCAACAGGCTATGAAATATTATAATAGTATCTAATAAAATATATTGTTGTTCTATTTAAAAATACTGTATTTTCTGGGGGGGGGGGTTGCAGCCCACTAGGCTCACACCTTTATACTGTAGCCACATATACAAACAATATGATATTATAATATTATACAAGTGATGTTTAATATCATAATATAGGTAATGAATATCATATTTAAGAATCAGAGGAATTTCACGTTTTTTTTCCTGCTTTCAGACCATGACTATATAGATACATCATCACCAGCTGCAGAATATCCATAATATTATAATAATATCACCTTGCCATTGCAGAAATGACTCGTCCGTTGTTTATTGTGAAAAATGAAAATAAATATAAAGTATGTACCCACCTACCTATATCATGCCTATTTAATGCATTTATGACTATATTATGTAAAATATTATGTGTGCGTCTACCGGTGAGATGTGGTACCTATTTATAGCGTGGTTGTGGTATACACAATACATAATATTACATATTATACACATACATTTTTTTTTGTTTTCACCATTCACAACTTCAGCAACTATATAGAAAGTCATTCCTCATTAGTATGAACATAATATTTTTATTAGACATCTAAATAGTTAATATAGGTACATTAAATTAAATTGTTTTATTTATATACCTATATAATATATTATATTATGATGCAATTGAGTATATTTCTTAATAAATGTAATATTACCTATTAAATTTGTTTACCCAGTCCGGTACTTACTTTGAGGAAGGGAATGAGTCGAACGAAGTCGTTCAAGATCTCTTGGCTTACGGCTTCACATAGGTATATTTGAGTGAACGTTATACTTTAGTCTTGCT